TGGATTCGTAATCGAATGGGTGTTCGGTATTTGTGAGTTTGGTCGGGTTCTGAGCTACTAGCTCAGGGTAGACCTTTTGGGTTGACTTTTTGATTTTGGTTAAATATCTTAGCTTTATCATTTGGAATCAATTCCTATGGCTTTTATTGATTATATTAAGGTAATTTGGCTAGATTCAGGTCGTCCGGAGGTTGATACATGTGGGAAGGGCATGTTAGAGGAGTGATTTGACTTGCTTGAGGTAAGTATCTTACCTAAACTTGGTTGAGGTACTAGTTGCCTGAATTATTTGTGATAACTACATACTATGAGTGGCGTTGAGCCCATATGCGTGCACCAGGTTACTATTTCATGCTCGGGGTAGTGCTTAGGCTATGATATGCCTTGATTTGATTGCTAAACTTTATGCTCTGATGTTTCTACTATTTGTGCCCCTTTTGTGAGCAATTTGTACTACATTTGAGGTTACATTGAGGTTATTCTCCTGATTGAACTTGATAAGATGTATTTCATGATGAAATGGTCTGATTGAGATGTGTTAGCACATATTGCACATGCCTACACTGTAGCATGTCATTTATACCAGTCTAGGAGTATGAAACTTGATATTCATTGATCATGTACATGTATTCTTGTATATCTGCTTTTTGTGTGATATGATCTGGACTGGTAGCCTGTGACCACGCTAGGGGGATTGTTATTATTGGCACGTGAGTTATTCGTACGGCTGGTATTATTGGAACGTGAATAGTCCGTGCAGCACATGAGTTGTCTATGTGGATCCAGATATTGATATTATTGGCACGTGAGTTGTCTGTACAACACGTGAGTTGTCTGTGCGGTAGATATTATTAGAATATGAGTTGTCCGTACAACACGTGAGTTGTTCGTGCAATGTGTGGATATGGATCCATCTCCCTAGGATCACCCTCTAATGTTTCTTTCTTTATGGTGTACATGCGGATTGAGGAAAACTGATCAGTGGTTTGGTACTATATTGGAAATTTTGAGGAAAATCTGGCCAGTGTTGGTTGGTTATTGCATTTCATCTTTACTTGCAATTTCCATGATAATTTACCTGATTTACATGCATATCATCTCTATATGCTGGATCATTGACTGAGCAGAGTACTTGAGTAATTGTATACACCAAGGTGGTTATATCCGTACTTTCATGATTTGATCATATTACTGTTTTGTTGTTGAATTTGTAAATTGTACAGGTTATAGCAAGTATCATTTATAATTCTTGTCTTTATTACCTCGCCGAGGTTAGTTATGATACTTGATGAGTACATGAGGTTAGTTGTACTCATATTATATTCTGTATTTAATTGTGCAGATCCAGGTGTCGGACCCAGTCACCAGTAGCAGTGTTGCTTGCTGAGTTGTTAGAGAGACGAGGTAGTGTTGCATCCCGATCGCAGTCTTGGCGACTCTTTTCATTTGTACTGTTGTCTTTTATTTTCAGACAATATTATTATCTAGCTTTACAGACTTGTAATTCCATTTTAGAGTTCATGACTCTGTATTTACCAGTTCTAGGGGATTTATCATGTATTGGTATTATTATGTTATGTTAAGGTTTTAGATCGATGTTAATTATGTTAATTCTACAATTTTGGTTCATTATTTTATGTCCAACTTGCCTAGCAAGTGTGTTTGGCGCCATCACGACTGGTTAGAATTTTGGATCGTGACAGCGTATAAAAATCGAGGAGATCGAGGGGGCTATGCATAAGATGAGCAGGGGAAGAGGGACCGGACCAGATGAAATTCTGGTAGAATTTTTGAAGTACGCGGATAGGGCAGGCTTGGAGTGGCGCATTGGGTTGTTTAATATCGTTTAAGGATGAACGAGATGCCCGAAAAATGGAAGCGGACTAGGATGATTCCACTGTACTAGAAGAAAGGTAATATCAAGTTACTTAATCATACTTTGAATGTTTGGGATAGGGTGGTGAAAGTAAGGGTGAGGAGGACCGTGTCTATTTTTAAGAACAAGTTCGAATTTATACTGGGACGTTCAACTACGGAAGCCATCCAACTTGTTAGGAAGTTGGTGGAACAGTACATGGGGAGGAAGAAGGATTTGCATATGGCGTTTATTGAACTAGAGAAAGCATATGATAAAGTCTCAAGGGAGATTCTTTGGAGATGTTTAGAGGCTAGGGGTGTTCCTCTAGTGTACATTAGGATGATTAAGGACATGTATATAGAGCTAAGACTCGGGTGAGTACAATGGGAGAAAACTAGAATTATTTTCTGGTTATGATAGGGTTACACCATGGATTCGTGCTTAGTCCATTTCTATTTGTCATGACGATGGACACACTAACACACCACATTCAAAGGGAGGTGCCATAGTATATGTTGTTAGTATATGACATTGTACTGATTGACGAGATGCGAGGTAGTATTAACGAGAAGTTGGAGGTTTGGAGACAGACTCTTGAGTCTAAAGGTTTCAAGTTGAGCAGGACGAAGACAGAATACTTGAAGTGCAAGTTCAATGATGTGACGAAGGAAAAAGACATGGATGTGAGGCTTAATTCACAAGTCATCCCCAAGAAAGGAAGTTACAAGTATCTTGAGTATGTTATCCAAGGGAATTGAGAGATTGACAAGGATGTCACACATCGTAGCAGAGCGGGATTGATGAAATACAGGCTAGCATCTGGCCTCTTGTGTTATACGAATATGTCACCGAAACTTAAAGGTAGGTTCTACAGACTAGTAGTTAGATCGACTATGTTGTATGTGATAGAGTATTAGCCGGTCAACAACTCCCATATCTAGAAAATGAAAGTAGTAGAAATGAGAATGTTGAGATAGATATGTGGGCATATCAGGTTGGATAAGATTAGGAATAAAGATATCCAGATAAAGGTGGGTGTGGCCCCCGTGGAGGACAAGATGCGGGAAGCAAGAATGAGATGCTTCAGGCATGTGAAAAGGAGAAGCTCGAATGCTCCAGTAAGGAGGTGCGAGCAGTTGGCTTTGGTGGTATGTGAAGAGGCCGAAGGAGAGCTAAGAAATATTAGGGAGAGGTGATCATGCAGTACATGGTGTAACTGCAGCTTACTAACGACGTGGCCCTCGATAGGAGGGTGTGGAGGTCGAGAATTAGGGTAGAAGGTTAATAGGTAGTCGATCGTATTTCTGTTCCGTACTGAAGGTATTATGGTTAATATGTTAGTTTTTCTTGTCTTAGATTGCTAGTATTTCATGTTGTTTTCATATTATTTTCCGCTTCGGTCTCTTAGTATCTTGTTGTTGTTACTGCTTGTTGTTGCTATTGCTTCCTTCTATCTATTTTTCTGGCTCTGTGATTGTTGTTACTATCTTTGTGGCCCTATTTGTTGATACTACTTGTTTTTAATGTTTCTTTTCATCTACTTGAGCCGAGAGTCTATCAGAAACAACCTCTCTACCTTCTCAGGATAGGTGTAAGGTCTGCATACACATTACACTTCCCAGACCTTACTTGTGGGATTCTACTGAGTTGTTGTTGAAAAACTTCTCAATTTTTTTAATGGAAAATGACCAAAACTATCCTTGATCTAATGGATATCCACCATTCACCTGTTAGATTCTAATATCTTCATTGTTATCTTCCGGTAATAATTAAAAAGATCCAAAAATGTCCCTCGCATTAACAGCGGAAGCCATATAGGGTTATATTTGGACCTTTTTAGTTACTAACGAGTATATTTTGACCATTTCAATTATCCAAGGATTTACTGCAAATTAGTACATTTGTTGTTGAATATGTATGCTTTATCCACTTGGCATAAGATATAACTATTGATAAATATCTTTTTTGTTTTGCGAAAAATATCAAGAAGTATAGGGTAAAATAATTAATATTATCAGGGCAGTTTTGGCCATTTTTTTTTTTCTAATGATATTTAGTTGTGAAAATATTTTTCAAATTTTTCAGTATTTGGATTCTGAAAAAACTTTTTCACATGCTATGAGATAAGCCCTAATCCTTGGTTCGACCCATTCATACTAACAGTTCTTATGAAAATTTTGTGTAAAATTGACGTGTTTTAATATTGTAGTTTATTTTTCTGAAAATTTTGGGCATTTTCAACCAAGTTTTTTATTTTTTATTTTTTATTTTTTGAAAAATAACTTAGCGACAGAAAGCTAGTGAAAGTTTTGCATTTTAAAGATACTTCATATAAGCACTAATGTCCTCCCTTCTTCCTGTGCACAGTGCAAACTAGCTTGAGACGACCTTATTAATACCCGGGAAAATTTATACAAATATAATACATTTTTTCGGCTACCAAATGTAAATAATTTTTGGCGCAGGCTAAAAGTGATAATACCCTCATCTTTTTCCATATTCATCTTTTACTTCAAATTTTCAATTCAAACCACCTTAAAACTTCACCAAATCATCCCAAAACTCAGATTCAAATCGTTAAGATGTACCCATTGTATTCCAACAACAACCACTCGAAATAAATTTCAATTTCGAAAACCCAAATTTTTGAATTCAAGCTTAAGCAAGTTTCAGTGGCTGTCCATGGAGTTTTCAGTTTAATCTTTCGACTCAATCCAACAAACTAACGTTTAATAGTGAATTTTAAATCGAATTAAGGTGCTTGATTCTTCTAATTTCAACTTAAGTGAATTTAAAACATTGCAATATTGCTTAAGTCCAATGTCTCAAAAAGTTTGAACTACCTTTGTGTTTTAGCAAAATAGACTTGTGTTACAAAATAACATTTGGGCTATTTTTGGTAGATATTTTTTTTTAGGCTAGTTTTGATTAAAATTGTTTATAAATAAACTGACAGTTTGGGTAGTTTTCCCTTTTAATAACCTTTTTAATCAATGTGACTTAGCAGTTCAGGGCTTTATCTAGAAATTCAAACAACTGTCGACTTTAATAGACAGCAGAAATCTAATTATCTATTCTGTCTAAGAGGGAAAGAAAAGAAGAAAACTAGTCAGAGATACCATTTCCTTTTCCTCCTATACCATACTTTCAAGTGCCTGCCGTTTATTAAACTTTTTTTTTGAGAAATAGTAATACTAATATTAGTACTACCAAAAACCAGTCATATTACATATCATAGAGATGCCACTTAGGGCATTTTGGTTGCCAAGTTTAACCAACTTAGTGCATTTATTTTCCGAAATAATCCTAACAAAATGTGTTCCACCTTTGTCTGCTAGGAACTGATTTTCTACAAAATGTGGTGGGACTGCAAAATTCCTGATTTGATTAAGTTTGGACTGCTTGGAAGCTTCCTTTGCCAAACCGTGAGATACTTGATTTGCTTGCCGAAAGGTATGTCTGACCACCACCTGCTCCATTTGGTACATCAAACCCCTGCCTTCACAAATAATGGGATTGTACGTAGGATAACCATGTTCAAGGTCTAGAAGTACATCTGTTGAGTCTGTTTCAATCTCTAATAGACTCAGTTGGAGAGCACATGCAAGTTGAAGGCCATGTTTAAGAGCTAGTAGTTCTGCTTGGATAGGAGTAGCAACATGCATATAGTTATTGAATCCAACTACCTAGTCTCCTGAGCTGTTTCGGATGACTCTACCAATTCCGCAACACAAATTACTAGATTTGAATGCCCCATCTCTGTTAAGCTTATACCGCTCTCGGGGTGATTTAAGCCATTTTACTATGATGGACTTTTTAATGTTGCAATTAGGCTCCCTGGCTGTGACGAATTGAATTCCATTGCCTGTTGAAAAATAATCTTAGGGGATAGAGAATAATTAGTATGATAATATATATGATAATGGAAAACATTTTGGTAAGGCGCTCTTTATCCCTTAGTAGGCTTACACGATACAAATTCAGATTAGTCTGATCACCGATGATTAAACCAAGAAGGAAAAAAAATAAACGTGCGGTAAGTTAAAGCAACACCTTAATAAGGTTCTCAAGTAACATTCAGAACTCGTCTAAAACAATGTCCGGAATTAGAACTAACATGTATAACATTGATTTAGAAAGAAAACCTCACATTTGAGATATGCACTTAAGCTCTAAAATGAAAGAAACTTGGTCTATTAATTAACTAATATTCCTTCCCAGATTTTGATAAACTTTTTATTGCTCAGTTTTCACCCAGCACCTTTGCAGTCCTATCACCATTAACATGACCACTACTTAAAAGCCAACCAAATAGTAAATGATAAATAAAGATAAGTATATTCTTAGTATAAAACTATTTTAAGAAGAAAAACAAAGTAATTATGTAATGCAGTTTACACATTTTACTCCAAGTGAACAAGATCGTGCCAATGGGAGGAGAAATCTTGTTGTGTTGTCTCATGGGTTCTTTCATGACCACTACAAGACTATAACAACCATCAGACCTCAGCAAGTTTACAAGTCTCTGAGGTAAACCCCATAAAACTAGAAACTTCGGAGCATAGCTTCATCCAATAAACAAGTTAATCAAGCATTCGAATAGATATGTAAAACTTGGCGCGGAGATCAGACGAGAAGTATCCTACTACTCGTTGAAATACCTGACATATTGGTATCAGTGGACCAGTCACATGTGAAGAATGTGTTCCGGGGAAAAACTTCCTGATATATTTTCTTGCTAGAGACGATTAACCATATAACTTCAAGGCAACTGGACTTATGGGAGAGAAGCCAGCTGGTGAAACGAGTGCGTCTACTGGAACATCATTAGGAGTGGTAGCCATAGCACCCTCATCCACTATCTGAATGGAATATGCAAGGGCAACTACAAGAGAGAATCTCAATTAAACTGAGATGGTATAGATGAAGGCTTCACAACCCTTTCACATGCATAATAGTAAGAAGACTTAAAAGAGAGAACATGTTTAGAGATTCTCCTATATAGTCAATTTGATAATGCCAAGGGAAATACTGAGTCAGCATATTACCTAGTAAGGGCCGCTTCCAGTTTTTTTCCTTGACTAGATCTTCATACTTCCTCAAGAACATATCATAATAACTTCAGGAATTCACCGGTGTCCACAAGCCAAAATCAAAACGAAGGGATTAAGAAAAGATAATTGCATTTGGTTTAATTTGAAAAGTTATAGGGTTATAAATTTCATAAATCTGCATGAAGCAGTTTGCTTATTAAGAAAAGGCAGTTTTCTGTTAGCTGTTATGGAAGATGCATCAATTAAGCACTGAAAATCAAGGAAATCAAATTTTACTGCAATAGGGTAATTTTGATACCCAATAATTTTAATACCATAATGATCTATGAATTGCATTTATATTACAGTTGAACATGACATATGTTTAAATGATAAAAAAGATGAAAAGCAAAAGTATAAAGAGATGATAAGAAAGGGCCACTACTGTTATTACCAAATAGAACCAAAAGCTTACAGCAGTGATGGATAAACCTACCCTCCATTACGTCCCAACCTTCGTCCAGATCTGTCAAACGCAAGCCCTAGCAACACAGGAAAAAAAATGGGGAAAAAGACGTACGAGTATTACATAACTAAACAAACAAGATGAGGCAGGCCATTACCAGGTAGAACAACCAAGTCCACAGGTTCACAAGCCTGCATAACTAGAACCAATAAATCCTTCAGAAATACAAGTGTGTAGGCCAAACCAAATTAAAGTTATAAGCATGAGAAGTAAATTTACGGCTCAGTTCTCACAGACTGTATTCATCTTATAACTATGGTATAAGAATTCACCTCATTCGTCATACTTCTAGTACTACACGTGAGAAGAAGCTGTGTGGAACAAAGGTGACTAAAAATAGAGTACAACAAACGAGCGATCCAACAAGTACTTTTAATATACAAATTCTGATTGAGTAGAGCACATTAAAGACAATTCACAAAGCAAGTTTGTAAGATATCAAACCAAACCAATGCAAATCAACTTAAGCATCTTTACAGTAATGATAAAAGTAGAAATTATGAAAAATAAAGCATAAATCAAAATACCCTCTTCACGCTCTTTTCCATCAGAATCTACTGGGGCTGGTTCCAAAATGTCCATCGAGCTTAGAACTAGATCATTCAGACTCGAAATCTTCAGCATTTTCATGTTGCTAAATCTGTCTTCTACACGCGGTACGTACAGTCTCTTCTGTTTTTCCTGTTCTGATCAACCAAACTTATCATTAAGCAGATCTACAACATAATAATTTTTCTGTCTGTACATCTATGCATTTCCATTTTATATATGAATATAGCAATTTATTGCCTTTTCATTCTGCTATCCTCGGCGCAATAAATGCAGCATTTTATTTCAGATTTCCTTAAAATTTGGAGAAATTTTCTGAATTGTAGCATAGTTCCTTTAGGTGAAAAATTATAAATCTTTTAATGTATGCAGTTGCAGACATTTGAAGTAAAGAAACAATAAATGAATAAAAGGAAAAAAGTACAAAATCTTTCAAAGTTCGATCAGACTTTCCAACAGAAGAAAATTTTACATGCAGAATACTACATTTCAACCGCAGATACTGATGCAATCCCAAAGGAAAATTACAATAATTCCAACAGCAGAAATATTCAGGTACAGTATAGCATCAAGAAGAAACTTACCACTGGATTCATTGCATAGAACTTCTGCTAGAATTTTTGAAGTGTCAACCTCTCATAAAGCAGCTGAGCTAGCATAAACACACAGGCTCAGGCTGGATTTGAACCATGGGGCTTCTAAAACAATATTCTGTATTGCATTATCTGAGAAAAGGACCAGAAAAAATATAAAAAGCTCATAGTTATTAATCGACGAAAAGTAACAAAAATTGAGCTAGATGTAGAACAAAGAAACACAAGCAGCAATCAGTGGTATCGGCTAAGGCAAAGAAGTCGTCTGCCCATTTTGATTCAGACAGCAAGGCAACAGAGAGGAGAGTCACTTAGCAAGCTAGGCAGTGACTTCCAGGGTTCACTTTATCGCTTCAATAATCCGAAAGCATCCAACAGTGATTTCATCATTGTGGCTCCAACAAGTTAATTTCATGAATTGCATACCTTGACAGTTCAAATTTAACATATAATAGGAAAAACACCAAAGAAGTATTTTCAGGACGTCATTGTCCATAACATTACTATAGTAACAACTGACTCGAACTCATTCAACCATTTTTAGCCAAGCAAGAATCTGTTACAATAACAACATATCCAGTGAATTCACAAATGGGGTCTGGGGAGGGTAGTATGTACGCAGACCTTACCCCTACCTTGTGAAGGTAGAGAGGCTGTTTCCGGAAGACCCTCGGCTCAATAAAGCAAAATCACAGCAGCTATGCCAAGCAAGAATCTGTTATTTTAATGAAATCGACATGGAGAAAGCTGTCTCAAGACATACAATATCTTAAAATTAAAGCAAGTTTAGCGAACAACAAAACACAACACGAGCAAAGAATTCATATAGGTGATACAAACTAGAGGGAATTAAGACTTAGTAGTTGTTTGCACTTCCATATGATTGTTGGGAGTCTTATTAGTGTGGCTAGAAACCTGTATGTTAGCCTAGAGATGAGAGCAGGATTAAGAAAACCCTAATTTGTCTTTAAAATAAATATTACTATCCAGTATTTGGATGAATAGAGTGAGATTAAAAGAACCTTAATTTTCCTTAACACTCTGTTTGGATCATTGTTGCCCATCGTTTTATAATGTATTGTATTGTATTGTATTGTATCATTTTATGAATATAACGTTTGGATAGATTGTATTGTTTGTTATTGTTAATAACATTTTTTCTGTTTGGTTTGATTGTATCGTACTGTACTGTAACCGATAAGTTTACTAAAATACCCTCAATTGTTTTAAATATTAAATTTATCAAGAATTGCGCATAAAAATAATTTAAGAAAACCCCTAATTTCTAATAATTTATCTCCAATTATGTCTTATAAACAGATTAATCAATTAACTTTATGCAAATTCTAACAAAATTAGTGGAACAAGATAGTAATATTAAAAATAATAATAAGTACACTCTATTCATAATTAGATCATAACAATAATATTAAGAAAAGTAAAATATTAAGTAAAAAATAATAACCGTGAAATGAACGAAGACAAATTAGGTAAGAATGGCAGAACTTATTCTTGTTATCTCTCACCGTGGAGTTGGCAAAGAACGGCAGAAGCAGTTCTGAAAAAAATGGGAGGAAGACAAAGTACGTTATAGGTTGGAGATTTGGAGTTAAAATAAAAAAAAAGATAAAAGATAAAATAGAATTATGGAGTAATAAAAAAGGGCATAATTGAAAAAAAAAATACGAAATAATCCCACCACACTAAATCGGTTGTTTCAAAAAATGGGTCTTTTCATTATTTCGGAACGATGAATTTAACAATACAATACAATCAATTTTAACTAAACAATAAAAAAAACATTATTTTAAAAAAACAATACAATACCAATGGGTAACAACCATCCAAACAAGCTGTTAAAACAAAAATTATAGTATTTAAACGAAACAAGTCCAAATGGAAGAGGGATTCATATAGACGAGCTCAACGAGTTTGGAATCAAGGTCCAGTTAATTAATTGATGAATCGAAATGACCTTTGAGTTTAAGCAGACAAAAACACAAACATAATATGTGCAATTCTATATAGTTACATTATTTATAAGCAGATAGGGAAATGAGAATTGTACCTTCATGGGCTCGTTGAATGGGACTCATATTCTTCAGCTCTTTACGAATTTTGGATCGGAGTAAGCGCTTTTTCTGAAAAATCGCTTCGAGCTGGCTGGGATCGTCCACGAATGAACGGCGAGGATTTGGGGTCGGGTGTGACATAGCGGAACTCAATGAAGGTGATGCTATCTTGCACGAATTGGACATCAGCGCCATTGCTGCCTTGTTAACTAATTTCCCTGCTCTCATATTCTGTAGACTATAATGGGCCGTTTGGTTTGTGTAACGATAATCATTCTATATAATTCTGCATTGCTTAATCCCTTGTTTGTGGCCTTTTCATGTTGCAACGAACAAATAAATGAAGAAAAATAGAAAAGAAACTACGGCTACAAGTCAGAAAACTAGGGCAAAAATTGAAATAGGATTTTGATTGATACTCATTCAGCTGAATGCAGGACCTAAAGTGCCCCAACAGTATCAAGTTACGTGCTAATATGTAATTATAAAAATTTATAATATAAACTAACAAGGGACTCAACTGTACAACTATTAAACTTAACTCCCAACCTAACTTAACTACTTATAACGGCTACGTACAACCCCTCAAGCCCCCAGTACCATCGACGCATGCTCTCTTCATTTCATCTTGCATCAATTCCCCCTCGTTAAGATCTTCCTTGTCCTCAAGGAAGGAACTGTGGAAAACGAGTCTTTAAGGCTTGGCAGTCTTCCTAGGTCGCGAGATCAGATGGCAACTTCTCCCATTGGATGAGAACTTGGGCTACTGCTTTGTTCCCATTTTGAATCATACGCCTATCTAAAATTTTGTGTGGCTGAGGGCAGTAGGGACTTACTAGTTCCAGTACTGGTGGATGAGATATGGCCTTTGGCAGCTCATGGCATCGCTTCAATTGAGACACATGGAAGGTGGGATGTAACAAGAGTTGAAGAGGAAGTGAAAATTTGTAGGTTGCCTGCCCCACCTTTTGTAGCACTTGGTAAGGCCCATAATACATTGCTGATAGCTTGGTAAAATGCGATCCAGACAAAATGATTTGCCTATAAGGCTGGATTTTTAAATCTACTCAATCCCCTTCCTGAAACTGTCTATCTGATATGTGTTTGTTAGCTTGCTCAATCATCCTCTACTGAGCCCTTTGCAAGTGGTACTTCAACAATTGCAGCTTGAATTCTCTTGCGAGCTGGCTTCTATCAACCTCCATGGATTCTGAATCACCAGCTATATAAGGATAGTGTAAGGGTGGTGGTTGTCCATAGGGTACTTCATAGGGAGTGCACTGTATTAATAAGTGGAAATTATACCACCATTCTGCTGCAACCAGATATTGGTAATAGTCAGTCTGAGAATCAGAACAAAAACACCTTAAGTAGGTTTCTAGGCATTTGTTCACCACTTCTGTTTGTCCATCTGTTTAGGGGGTGATAAGTTGTTGAAGTGTTTAGACTCCCCATCATAGAGAATAGTTCTTGCCAAAATTTGCTAGTGAAGACAGGAACCCTGTCACTAACAATGTCCTCAGGTGCCCCATGTAGTTTGTAATTGTTATCCATAAACAACTTGGCTATATCAGTTGCAGAACAAGGATGAGATAGTTCTATGAAATGAGCATACTTAGTAAGCTTGTCCACCACTACCCAAATTACTGATTTCCCTTTGGATTTTGGCGAACCTTCTATGACATCCATATTGATGACACACCAAGCAACTATAGGTATTTTAAGTGGTTGTAGCAAGCCAGGGTATGGTACATTGTCATATTTATGCCTTTGGAATATATCACAAGCCTTGACCATCTCTTTTACCTCTTCTCTCACCCCTTTCCAGTAGAAAAGTGCAGATACTTTTTTATAAGTGTTGTCACCTCCACAGTGTCCACCTACTGGTGTGCTATGCTATAGTTGCAAAATCTCCTTTCTAAGTTGCTTGTCAGGCCCCACTACAAGTCTGCCATTCTTCCTTAGCTGATCATGCACAAAGGCATACCCTTTATTGTTAGTTCCCTTCCCTCTCAAGGACTGAATTAGATTCTTTAATTCAGTGTCAGTTTCCCAGCTATTCTTGTTCATCTCCAGAAGCTCAGTCTTCACAGTTGTGATGGTTATGGCTGTTAACTCTACTGATGGAAGTCTTGATAAGGCATCAACTGCCTTATTTTTTTTTCCTTTCTTGTACTCTATTTCAAAATCAAACTACATCAGCTTGGTTATCCACTTAAGTTGATTCCTAGTGTGTAGTTTTTGCTCCAATAAGAACTTGAGGACCTTCTGATCAGTCTTTATAATAAAAGGTCTGATTATTTAGTACTGGACCATTTGTTCACAGCCATCACCAAAGCTAACAACTCCTTGTCATAAATGGACAAGGACTAATGCTGTTTTGATAGACCATTGCTCAGGAATGCAATTGGTTGTCTACCTTGCATAAGTACTGTCCCAATCCCTACATCACATGCATCAATTTCCACTACAAAAGTTGATGAAATATCTGGCAATGCTAGGATTGGAGCTGTGACAAGGGCTCTTTTCAATTTTTCAAACGAATTCCTAACTTCTTCAAACCATCTGAATCCATCCTTCTTGAGTAGGTCAGTCAAAGGTTTGCTAAGGATTCCATACCCCTTTATGAACCTCATATAGTATCCTGCCAAACCTAGAAATCCTCTCAAATGTGAAACAGACTTAGGTTCTGGCCAAGACTGCACAACTTCAATTTTCTTTGGATAAGTTGACACACCATTAGCTGAAATGTAATGCCCCAAGTATTCTTTGCTCCTTTTGGCTAACAGTTGAAGTTGAATCAGTAGATCAAAAGCAATTTTCAAGTGCTTTTAATGGTCGGCTAAGTTCTTATTGTAGATCAGAATGTCATCAAAGAAAACAAAAATAAATTTTCTAAGATGCTCCAGGAATATATGGTTCATTAGTCCTTGAAAACTAGAGGGACCTTAGTTAGTCCAAATGGCATTACTAAATACTCATAGTGCCTAAAATGAGTTTTAAAAGCAGTCTTGGCTATATATGCAGGATCCATTCTTATTTAATGGTAACTCGCTCTTAAATCTATCTTAGAATAGATCTGTGAGCCTCCTAGCTCATCTAGCAACTCTTCAATGATAGGAATAGGGAACTTGTCTTTCACATTCAACTTGTTCAAAGCTCCGTAATCCACACACAAACTCCATGATCTATTTTTTCCCCTACTAGTACCACAGGAGAGGCATAAGGGCTTGAACTATACTGAATGACCCCTTGCTTCAACATTTCCCTGACCATCTTTTCACTTCTGTATAGGAGAATACCTGTAAGGTCTGACATTGACAGGTGCATTCCCTTCTATTAAAGGGATGTGATGATAAAAAAATCCTCTAGAAGGAGGCAGTTGTATTGGTTCTCCAAAACTTTTACTATATTCTGCCAATACTGTTTTAATCTCCACATGTTCTTCTACAGATTCACTTTCAGTTTCTTGTTTATTAGTGTTCTATTCCTCTCTTACTCTAACCATGAAGAACTGAGAGTCTTGCTTTGTTAATTTCTCCAATGTCTTGGCCTGCACAAATTTGAAACTAGGCTGAATGCCTTGAAGTCTGAGTAGCTTCCCTTGGTATTCAAACTCTATTACTAGTTTCTTGAAATTGAATTTGACATCTTCCAGGGGACATAACCATTGTATTCCTAACACCAAACCACATTTTCCAATAGAAAATACTAGAAAATCATTCTGAAAAATTGCTCCTTGCATCAACCACCTAAATCCCTTGCACATTTGTTTAGTAGGAACCTCCCTTCCATCAGCTACATGTACTAGTTGTGGTTTAATTTTGCTTATTTCACACCCCAAACTCCTTGTTGTGTCCTCATCTATAAAGTTATGAGTGGAATCAC